GTGTGTGTGTGTGTGTGTGTGTGTGTGTGTGTGTGTGTGTGTGTGTGTGTGTGTGTAAATGAGGGTGATGCAGTGCTCAAAGTGTGCTGGGATCTAGTTGAGACACCAGTCTCAAGTTCCCGTTTCTCTCCCATGCTGCCTCTCCCACTACTCTGTGATCTGTGTACGTTTTCTCATTTTCGCTTCATCCTTTTACCACCTCACCCCTGCACATTAGTAAGCAGTATTTATCCCCTTTTCCCTTTGCAATGTCTCCTTTTTGCGTTGCCTAACAGTCACCTGCCCGCGACATGGATATCGGAGGACTGACCACAGTGGTAGCTAATTCTGCTTACATCAATGCTCGTGGAAGCATTGATGGCACCAGTACAGCAGCAGCTCGGGATAAGAAGTACCATTCTCGCCTCAAACTGCCCCACATCACTCTGTGTGAGGACCTGAGGGACACCCTGGATGTGGCCTTTGACGCAGTCTGCGTGCAACAGCCTATCGGCAAACGCCTCTTTAAGGAATTCTTGGATTCAAATACAGAGTATCACGGGGCTTGCCGTTTGTGGAAAGACATCGAGGGATATGACCTGGCGGAGGACTCAGACAGGGCAAAGAAGGCCTCAAAGATTGTCGAGCGTTACATGGACCCCTCTGCCAAACACTACTGCCCGTTCCTGGCTGAGGACATCATAGCTAAGGTGAAGGAAAGCCAGGAGGCTGCAAGCGATGATTTGTTTGCTGCAGCATTGGCCTCAACGTTGGACTTTCTGCGTGAGGCCCCCTACTCTTTCTTCCTGGAGAGCTTGTATATGAAGCGGTATCTGCAGTGGAAGTGGCTCGAGATGCAGCCCGTGGATGCAGACTGTTTCCTGGACTTCCGCGTGCTGGGGAAAGGTGGGTTTGGGGAGGTCTCTGCCTGTCAGATGAAAGCCACAGGAAAATTGTATGCCTGTAAGAAACTCAACAAGAAGAGGCTGAAGAAGAGGAAAGGCTATGAGGTGAGAGAAGAATTGTAACTCTTGCTAATATGCTCCTTTATTCACTATACTGTTGGTCTTTTGTGTTAGCCTTTAATTTAAATAAAAGGCTAATGCATAGTTTTAAAACAGGGCGTGCATTTATACTGATCAACTTTTCCCAAACATGTTTAACACGGAGGACTGGTAAAGGTCCAAATTATGCACATGCTGCAGGTTTTGGGCACTTTATAGTTTGAAATGCAATCTTTTTCAGTTTGTGGCATGTTGGGTCCTTTACTATTATTAATATCATCTCAATATCTGTCAAATAGTAATAAATACATGCCACAAAATGAGAATAGTATCGTCGCATTTCCTCGTACATAGATTTCAGGTAAACACAAATCTCTTTTAATTGCGATGTGCGCAGTGATTTGAATAATAAAGGCATTTTGCTGGCGTGGTGTTTCAGAGACAGTGCGCTGAGCGGAATGGGATGCTGCTAATCATCTTTGTCCCTGCCTCTGTCTCGTTTGGCTTTATCCTGCAGTATTAAACACTGAGATGGGGATAGAGTGATTACTGGGAGCTTTAGTGGAAAGCTCTGCTGAATGGAACTTCTTGGCACAGTTACATCTTGCCCTTGACTTGTCTGAGGTCATTTTTTTTAAACCTTTTTCAAATGGCATGTTCGTCGTCAACTCGATAGAAGAAAAGTCTGTAGTTTTACATTTTCTTTTTTTTAAATGTCAATGTACCATTGTTTTTCAAAAATGGCCTTTTCTAATGCCCTCCTGTAGGGGGCGATGGTGGAGAAGAGGATTTTGGAGAAGGTTCACAGCCGCTTCATTGTGTCATTGGCGTACGCCTTCCAGACAAAGGAAGAACTTTGTCTGGTCATGACCATCATGAATGGAGGAGATCTCAAGTAATTTCACACTCATGTCTCAAAGTGATGGTTCCTAACTACTGGCACATGGGTGCAGCTGCATGTGTGTCAGTTACAGTATCTCACTAACATTCATGAAATAAAGGTACCTGCTCAGGACCAGCTGTATTAGATACACTGAACTGCAGGCTTTATGCAAATTTTAGCTGTTATTCCCAAGAGACATGGTGCGAGAAATAACAAAAACAACCCTGAGTTGTCCCTTCAAAAGCACCAGCCACTTAAAGTCACGTCAAGTTGTCTTCTTTTGAATGAATCCCTTTTACATCTTTAAAATCTGATTTTAATGTGTGTGGACTGTTAGTTTGCAAAATGAGAGCATTAGGAGAACAACAGCATTCTAGTATGAAAAAACAACATATATAAGCTGTAATAGTGCAATTGTATGCAGATATGTCTTTATGATGGAGCTACATCTCACCTGTTCCCTGAAGGTACCATATCTACCTGGTGGATGAGAACAACCCGGGGTTTGAGGAGCCAAGAGCCTGTTTTTACATCGCTCAGATCATCCAAGGCTTGGAGCACCTCCACCAGAAAAGAATAATCTACAGAGATCTCAAACCAGAAAATGTGCTTCTAGATAACGATGGTAATGCATTTCAATTTAGACACTCGGGGAAAACAAACGCCTTGTTGGTGTGTAAATACTAGCTAATTAAGATATATTCATGTTGTCCAACCAGGGAATGTGCGTATATCTGACCTGGGTCTTGCTGTGGAGCTAAAAGAAGGCAAAACAGTGACGAAAGGATATGCTGGGACACCAGGTGGGTCTCAGCCGTATCAACAATGTCCTATTGAGAGGCGTACTTTCTCTGTGAACGTACGAAACATTTTTTTTTGACTTTATCTCTTGCAGGGTACATGGCTCCAGAGATGCTGAAAGGAGAGAAGTATGACACTTCAGTCGACTACTTCACTCTGGGAGTGACGCTGTTTGAGTTCATCGCTGCTAAGAACCCATTCAGAAACAGGGGGGAGAAGGTCAGTCACATTTCGTTAAACCTTGAGCTTCACCCTGTGCACAGAATGGCTAACTTTGTGAAATAAATAAGAGGATCAATCTTATATATAATTAAGAGTATTCGTCTCATGTTTAGGTTGAACGTGACGAGATGAAGGAGCGTATGCTCACCCTGACGGTGACCTATCCGGACAATTTTAGTGAGCATGCAAAGTTGCTCTGTGACGGGCTGCTGGCTAAAGAGGTTGATCAGAGGATGGGTTTTAAGAATGGATGCTGTGATGAGATCAGAGCACACCCATTTTTCAGTGACATCAACTGGAGGAAACTGAATGCAGGTATCTATATATTTTCTGTACTTTTGTGTCTTCTTCAGGGTTGTGTATAACCTCTATAACTTACATAAACATTTGCATGAGTGAACACAAACTAAAAAGCTTATTTCTATTTTAGGTGTGTACCCTAAGAATGGATTCAATCCTTCGACAGTTTGATTTTCCATTTCTCGCCTCTCCAGGTATTCTGCCTCCTCCTTTCGTCCCCGACCCTAAAGTGGTGTACGCTAAAAGTCTGGATGACGTCGGGGTTTTCTCCTCGGTGAAGGGAGTGGGCTTGGACGACTCTGACAAGACCATTTTTGATGAGTTTTCCTCAGGCAACATCCCGATCCCCTGGCAAGAGGAGATGATCGAAACGGGCATTTATGGAGAGCTCAACGTTTGGGGTCCTCGTGGCAGCGTCCCGAACGACCTCCGCCGAGAGTCGATACTAGAGCAGCCAAAGTCATCAACCTGCTGCGTATCGTAGAGTCTTTGAAACACCTTGAAAATACATCAAGCATACAGACTTGTGCAGCATGAAGACTCAAATACTCTGGACAAAAGTCTCTTCTGAACTTTCTGATTGCAGAGTTAAAACCATTTGAGACTTTAAACTTTATTGGTAAGCGCAGGACGACAACAAGAACAGAATGGAGGTGGATTTTCAACCTTGAGTGGACTTAAACATAGATTTAGCAGAAAGTAGAAAAAAAATAATTCATTGACCTCTGCCCCCCCCCACAATCCATCTTCATCTTCTCTTTCTTTGACTATCTGCTCATTCTCTTCTCTTTGTGTGTGCAGGTGTTAAATGATTTTAATGCTTTTAGATTTTAAATGCATTTTGAAAAATCTGTATTAAAAATTATATCTAAAGTGTATTTGGTGCTGAGTGATGTTAGGCCCATGTTAAACATGTGAAATGTTGAATTCCCTCTTGCATATCTGCTCCTATAGAGTGAATGCCATTTAATGAAAAGAGCTTATTTCTTTACGGTCCCTAGTTTTTATTATAAACAGCTAAAGGAACTTCTGCTGTTGAAATACCAAAAAGCTACAGCACCAGATGTTCCATAATTGACGACGAAAAAACCAAGAGCATCATTTTTATTTTAAAAACACATTGTTGAGCAAAAGTTGAATAAATTCAGAAATCAACTGTATAAGAAAGTGCTGGCAAAATAAAAGAGCTTATTGAAATGGAGATTTGAGCGTCATTTCTGCCTTCTGCTTGGATGTGGGTTTTTTGTTTCAACATCAGGTGGGACACATATTCATTGGGGGTCTGGGGGTCCACCCCCAGAAAATGGTGAGCACCAAACTCTTCATTTCCTGCATTCTGGGGATTTTTCATGCACCAATTTATGATGGAAATGTCTTTATTTATGTAAAGGAAAACACAAAATTCTGACACCAGATGACAATTCAAAATAAAATGCAATATAACGCAATTAGCCCCCGAGGCATTCTGTATTGCTTTCAAATATTTATTCTTCAGTAGATCAATGTTGCTGTGCAACGTTAATTTAAATCAGTAAGAGTAAAATGTAATTTGCTTTTTTCCTCAAAATTTGAACACAAAACCTTCAACATCTCAGGAATCTCCACCTCCTGACGCTCCTCCATCACTCCTTCGCTGTGGCCTTGTATATCCTCACCTCCTGCAGTGGGAGCTCAAGTACCAGCGTGCTGTTGAAACTGCTCTTAAAGCACTCTGTGAACCCCAAGTCTGACTGGAACCGGATCTTGTTGGCCCACAGCAGCGTTGTTCGACTTCCTGGTCGGCAAAAGTGCCGCATGGTTTCCAGCAGTTCTTCGAGGCAGCCGTGGGGATAGACCACGTCGGCTGCGAGCACGTAGTCGTAGTGGTAGGATGGGTAGGGGAAGTCTCGCCCCAGGTCCTGACCCCAGGTAAGGGCAGCCACCTGAGGTGTGTAGCGGGACCGGCCCTTGGTGTTCCGCAGAAGGTTAAAGGTCAGATTGGACAAGATGTCTGGCAGGTCAGTAGCTGTCACCCAAGCACCTGGAAAAGAGTATCAAAAAACAATAGCAGCTGAAGTACAGATAGAAAAAACCCAGCTGGCTCTTCCTCTAGCACCACGAGGTTGACATTTGTGGTATTGAGTGAAACTATTGGATGGATTGCAATGAAATGGTTTATACATTTATGTCCCCCTTGGGATGAATTGTAATAACTTGGTGATCCTTAAAGTTGCTTTAAGGACAGCTTATAAATTACTATCTCCATGCTTGATGTGTGGGATGTAAAACAGATATTATAAGTCTTGAATCTTATTGTCTATTGATAGAGACAAAGGAATGAGGAGAAACCAGAGGCAACCACAGAAAGGCAATGATTCCCTTTGTGTGAATGGGTGTTGTATTTAATATGGAATAAAATGATACTTATGTTTCCAGTGCATGATTGATAGAGGGACCAAAATATCCCTCAGTCTGATAATCACTCTGTTTGTCAAGATCTCTTTACAGCTGCAGCCTGCTGGCATGTTTGCAACGCAAAAAATGTGTTGTGGGTGGATATTCATGTTCCTCAGACAATGAATCACAGTGTTTAAGTGACCCGCTGATGTTTCCTCGAGTTCCACCAACAGTTCCACTAAAAAGCCAAAATGTAAAAATGTAATGTATGAGCAGATATTCAGGGCATATTAATGCAATAAATCCCTTCATGGCGCTCCCTCTAGCAGTATACGATCAAAGAGTACCACCACTGTTCTTAGGTAAGAAATTAAAAACTACAAGTTCGACAAAAGTGTCATTATTATCACTAATTTGATAAATAATTAAAAAAATAAAAACTGTTTTTGTTGTATTAAAGTCGGAAAAAGGCCTGTTATGAGTTATGTTATTACTTCAGTGTCGAGATTTACTGTTGGATGTTACTGTTTTACATATTGGGACTCTATTCTCATAGACTTACCAAGCAGACTGGCCACTGTTGAGAGCAAGCCAGTCCCAGCTCCAATCTCCAGCACCGCTTTGTCCATCAGGTTCATCTGTTGCTGGTTATTCTCCAAGAACTGGCTCAAAGCTATTGCCTACAGAATAAATTCTCATTATCACATTTGCAGCAACAGAGGAGTTCAGAGAACGAGCAGACGCACACAGGACGTACCCCGGGCCAGATCAGAGCACCATAAGTATCCATAGACTCGCGGATGCTGATGTTATGACCAGCGATATAAAAAGTCTCCATCCCCAGCGCGTAGTAGACACTCAGCTCCCAGATGTTCCTCCTGTCCACAGCCTCTCCTGCCATCACTTTGTGGTCTGCTGCAGACGAGAGTGTTACACGAAGGTGACAATGCTGCAGATTTATGGGATTTATCAGTGTAACAAATCAATCTGTTTCCATCTGTTTCTCTGCAACACAGACACCAGACTCGTGATGGCAGTGCCGAATACAGAGATACACATTCTCGTCAGTGTTTAATCCAAAATTACCCCCATCTGTGGGCCCCTGCTCCACCCGTCGTTCCCCATCCTGTTTGTCATCCACCTCCTTTTTCTTTCCATGATGCTGCTGCTGTCGGACATGCTGGCTGTCTGTGGACGGTCTCTCCATGACCACTGAATCAAGAATCAGTCAGAATCTGGTTTATTGTTTCAGTAGGTTTTCACATACAAGGTATTTTCTTCGGTGTATTGGTGCATAACAATAAACACAGAGAAAATACAAATAAAAGAAAGTTAATTTAAGATACATAGAATTGAAAAAATGCCACAATCTTTCCTGCTTAATCAAACGTTTTTGTGACACAAATACCATCACAGTGTAGTTTTTCATTATTAAATGAAGAAACATTTGCATTGTGTCTCTTGCTTGGGGTTGTGTTTTATCTTTAGTGTGCAGAATTAAATGTGATTTATTTAAGCTCAAAATAAACTAGATATAGTGCATTAGTCTATTTGGCTGTCATTAGACTCCGGTCTGGAGCCCAGAAACACAGCTGGTTAAACCCCCAGGTTTAAGCTCCACATGGGAAGCATCGGGTCGATGCACATCCCATTCAGCTGGATCTCCATGCAAACATAAAGGGCACAGTTTGATGTAATTCAAAAAGAAACATTATTGTCAGAAGTATGTAAAAGTGATTTACTGATTTTCTTCTTCTTCTTCTTCTCATTCACCGAAAGTAAAAAAAAGAATATGTTGCTGAAACATACCTGTATGAAGCAATCGTCTGTTATTCCTCTTTCCTCTCTGTTTGTGAACTTGTGTCCGCTGTGTTCTTGTGTTTATAGAAGCAGCATCGTTGGTGACATACGCCTGAGCGAGGCTAGGATATTTGGGCAGACAGAAGCAGAGAAACAGATTTATAATCTCTGACAGAGAGATGAGCAAACCTGACCCCTCCCAGAACTTGAACATCAACTCTTGTGGCCAGTGTGCATATTCCCTATATCACTGAACACTTTTGTGGCTTTAAAATCAGATCCAGCATTTTGTATCCTCTGAAGATTTTTGACAACATCTGCAGAACAGCTCTGATTGTTACTGCCTCTCATCCTTAATGAAGCAGACATCTGGTTTTAAGCAGGAGTTTCATATAGGACTGTAGGGACATGCAAATATTTGAGAACATGTATTCACACTGCACGGCGCCAACTTATTTGCATATTTATGTTTATCCTGGGAGGCAGATGTGTATGAGGTTTGTTATCGATGTGTGCCACCTGCCAGGCTTCACATAAAATAGGGTTAATTTCTAAAACAATCAGCAGGAGAGTGAGCAAACTGTTTACAAAGGCCTGGCCTGGAACTGACACATCCCCCTGTGCCATCTCTTAATAACCTGTGGGCTTCTCCTTTCTCCCTCTAGGTCCCATTAGACAATTAGCCATAAAAGAAAAGGCTGTGATCTGGAGAACTGTTTTCGGGCCTATATAAACATTATTGGGGTGGTAATTCATTTTGAGTTGGGTTATTAATCTTTTCTTTTAACCCTCCTCTTGACTGCAGCATCCTCCGCACAACATAAACATCAATATTTTTTTCAAGATTACTTTTGGGCATTTTAGGCCTTTATTAAACAGCGATGCTGGAGAGATTAGTGCGCGAGATGCAACAAAAGTCCCCAGCGAGATCTGAACCAGAGACGTTGCAAACCTGCAAAACCCCGAGACAGAATAAACAAAGACACAAATCGAGTTAGTATACTGCAATTGTGATAAAGTGGGTGAGAACACACCATTTGTCCCCATATTGCACTGATCTATAAATCTAACCATGCTTGTCAATTGTTTGTGTACCATACCCACCATGTGTTCTAGAGGGTGAGGCACCCAACCATTTCCTCCCCCTAATATATTTTTGTACAGTCCCTCAGTGTGACAAAAACAACATGCCAACCACGGATTTATTCACCAGAAGGGATGCAGACAACTAAAATATAACTGCTTATTAGGCTATTTTACATGACTTTCACAAATAACTTCATGAGTTGTTAGGCTGCGAATAAAACAATTTGACTGTAACTTGTTCCACGAGCAATGTTGAACCTCTAAAACACAGTCTTTGCAGACTGAGCTGTCACTTAAAGTCGACATGACTTGTAGAAAATGGTCTAAAATGTGCCCTTTAGCAAACATTAATAAGCTTTAACACACAATATCATCAAATTCAAACAACCATTGGTTTGCGTATGCATATATACAGCTGTGTAATCTAGTGAACATCAAGTCTGCGTCAAGATACACTATTGTCATAAGGTAACACAGATTGGAATTTTTAAATCAATCAAGTGCCTTGCCTCACTATATTGACGAAAAATGAATGCAGACCTGATGATTTCACAAATCACGAACGTTTTATGAGTCTTTTTAAACCATCCAGGAATTAATGGAAAGCTGTACAGGGGCAAACATGTATAGAAAATACCTTAAAATTCATACAATGCATTCAAAATATGGTTAGAAATATTATAACGTCTACTTGATTTGTGGTTAAAACTTTCACTCGAACACAATGGCATGGCCTTTTAAGTATATCCCACCTTTGATATAAGCTAAAGCTATTTTTTTTCTAATATCTGACTACACAGAGTCGAGGAATTACGTGGGAGCATCTCAAAACACTGTTTTGTGTGTTGTTTGTACACTGACATGAAGCAAAACCAACATGTTAGTACTAAAAGTCTGTGATGTGAACACAGACTCCGGTCCAGTCTGTACCACAACGTTCTTGCCTGAGCACAGATGCAGGAGTATTCAGCGTGCCCAGTGTTGGTAAGCTTGTCTGTGGCGCTCAGTGGGGAGGATTCACAGCGTCAACACAAACAAGTCAGCAGACAGCTGGTTGTGAAGCTAGAAAATGACTTGAACTGACAGACGGCAAGCAGCGACACTGAGTCACTCGCTTCTAAACAGCAACAATACAACAAGCAGTCAAGGTATTTGGGGATTTCCAGAGCACCAGGATCTCGACGCCAGGAATCAACAATGATTCATCAATCATTGTTGCGGAATGATGTTATGCACATAATGTTCTTCTTTTGCCAAAATGGCTCCTGTTTTATTTTTGTCTTATTCATCTTTTTGAATGTAGTAAATATACCCACCTGATGATGACTAACGAGATCGGATTACATACAGAATCTAAAAATATGATGATGTAATGTTTTCAATGTTAAGCGAAGCCAGGGTATGCACATTCAACTGTGATCTCTTAAATCCAGCAAAGGTCATTTTTCCAGGTAGGGGAACAATGGAGAATCTGCAACGCTCACATGGGACGAATAATGTTGTGTAGGATTGTAACATTTTTCATATAAGTGAATGTGTTTGTGTGGTGGTGGGTGTATGTATATATGCGGGGCAGTCAGCACTTAAAACAGAAAGATGAGGAGCTGCCAGTCATTACTTTAGAGGTGGTAATCCTCACCTCCACGTCCAAAGGGCAAGAAAAGGTGTGGCCGGTGGAAAATGAGTCAGAGTCACACACTGCAACATGTGAGTCCCTGCAGGCTTTACAGTAGCTGCATGTGCAGCGTGAGTGTGTGAATACATCAGTTATATCCATCATTAATGGGCGCTAAGCTCCTGTAATTTAAAAGGGCAAGGTGAGGATTGGAATTCAATGAGTCTAGATGCCACTCTGACAGAAGAACATAAACATAGATATCCACACAGCAATGTTGCAGACAGTAAACATGAAATCTGAAATCTCATTGTGAACAGCTTTCATCGCCATGATAGATTTTTGGCACCAGAACGAATTACCGTTGATGGGTCCTGGATGGACTGGGGGTTTAGATAAACCCAACAGACTGATGGTTGGATCACTGTTTCCTGGAAAACGTTCATAACTTAAACCTAAAATTTGGTATTTGTGACACACAAACTCTGTACAATATTCAAAGCATCAATACAGCAACAACTATTTGAGAGGCAATTGATATGTTGTGAAAATTGTTTTGTGGACCTTTGATTTCTTAACAACATTTATATTAGTGAAATATACAATATATGTAATTATTTTAGCTTTATCTAAATATTGAAATACACTTTTTGGTACTTAATAGACTAATAGACACACTTGAACACACTTGTATACTAAGTACACCTTTGAATGATGTATTCTCATGAAGAAATAGCATGTTTTTTTTTATTTACAAGATAAAATCTTCATCAAAAACAAATAAAATCATATTTGAATATAATGTGAAACATGACAAGTCCTGATCTTCCAGTTGCATTCAATAAAATGTGTCATGTTTAAGGCATTGCCTTTTAGTCAGTCCATTTGCTTTCCAAAATGTGATTTTAAAAGAAAGGAGTAACAAACTCTGCATCGCATGAGACAAAGAAGCGGTCCATTCACTAATGAGGGTAGGAGCAGATGAAAGCCTGAGGTTCCCAGCATGTGAAGTCATTGAACTTTCCATTTCCTGAAACGATCAGCAGATCAGAAAGTCAGAGACACATTGGTTGATATCCATCTTTGGTGTAACATATAAAAGTATTTTTGTTGTTGTTCAGCCACAACTGTCCGACTCTTACCATGTGCCAGCACTTCCACACATTCCTCAATATCTGCTGTGTTATTGGGCTCCCCTGACAGCCAATCAGCGTAGCTCCAGTGGGATCCATCCAACCAGATAAAGCGACCGGTCTGACAGATAACAGGGGGTTAATTGATGGGACATCAGATGGAGTTGTTAATTTAATTAATTTTCCACATACAAATACAGCAATGAAACAAACCACTCTCATGATGTGATTAGTGTCGGCTAAATTATCATTAACAGATTTAATACCCGTTACTCCCTGACTGAGCACGCACACCTTTAAATATCGTAATCCTCCAATCCAGCTGCGAGTAAGTGCTCCGTTTTCCCGCAGCATCATGTTCATCACCTCTCTGTGGATGTGTTGGCCTGTGATGGAGGCCAGGTGTCCCCCAGCCACATGTTCCTGGCAGAAGAACTGCAATGAAACAGAGACGACAGAGTATTATGCACGGCTGTGTGTAGCTTAAGAAGTCTAAATTTATAAGGATGTAATGGTGAATCTATGAGACAGTGGAGAACACAATGTATATACCTCTGCATCTGCAGCCGTTTTCGGCCCTCTGAAGAACTGGTAACACCTTCCCTCGAGTGTCACACCAGGACAATGGCTCCGCCCTGTGGCCAAATGTAAAATTACAGTATTCTCTATCTCATTTCAATTTAGAGGATAGGTTCACATTTTCCAAATCTATCACAACCAAAACTCTCGTGCACCTAAGATTTTTTGTTCACTGTGATTGTCCCTCTTGTCCATGCTGTGTTTATGCATATGCTTTACCTTGCTTGTCTTGATTTGGTGATGATCTTGTTTCTTCATGGTTTTTAACTCCCTGCCTCATTAAAGCCCGTTTTTCTCTTTTAGGGGCCACACCAATCTGAACTCCTCCATCAGGACCGTCTTCCATTTCTGGGAGCCCCATTGAAGACTGCTTCTCCTCCCCGACAAACTCACTCCCTGGCTCCTCCATCATCACATAGTCCGTCAAAAAGTCTTGATGTGTGCCATAGTCCATGCCCATCCTAGCCTCTTCATTTGGGAAATATTCCCTTAAAGATGAGATCTGCTGCCCCATAATGTCCAATGCGGGCCCTTCTTCCATGATAGCAGCCTCTGGCATGACCTGCTGATGATAAAAAGATTCTTCGTCTTCAGGCTCCAGCTCCATGATTGGTTCTTCATCTGAAACATTGTCCATCTCACTCATAAGCCCCTCCTCCTCCTCTGGCAGAGGTTGATTGACAGGATTATGATTCTGAAATGCCGCCCTCAAAGAGTTTTCCACGTCTGACAGCTCTGTGTTGTCGTCATCTAGTGGCTCCAGCTCCATGATTGGTTCTTCATCTAAAACATTGTCCCTCTCACTCATAAGCCCCTCCTCCTCCTCTGGCAGAGGTTGATTGACAGGACTATGATTCTGAAATGCCGCCCTCAAAGACTTTTCCACGTCTGACAGCTCTGCGTTGTCGTCCTCCAGTGGCTCCAGCTCCATGATTGGCTCACCCACCATTTCATATTTTCCCTCCATGTCAATGTGCCTCTCTTCGATCTCCCGGCCCGTTTCAATCTCTGCCTTGAGGTTCGTTTGCACCTGAAACTGTTCTTGAACATCTGGCTCTACCTTAACTTCTGATTTCACCTTTAATTCTGAGTCATCGTTGAGCTCTGGCTTCAACTCAACCTCTGGCTCCACATCAGGCATAGTTACTTCAGCCGTAACTTCTGGATTCAGATTTACTTCTTGCTCCACATCAACCTCTAGATCCTCCTTAACATCTGGCTCTGCTTTAACATCTGGTTCCTTCTTAATCTCTGTCTTTACTTCCCCCTCTTGCTCCTCTCTAACTTGTGGCTTTACCTTGATCTCTGGTTCCACTATGCTCTGCTTCATGTCCACTGGCACCGGAGCCAATTCTTTCTTCAGCTCCTCCAATCTTGGCCTGACCTGAGGCGCAGGATCTTCCACCACCACATGACCCTGCACAGGAACCCAGTCTCCCAGCAGAGGGCTCTGTTCTCGTTCAGTCAACACTGGGGTTTGTTCCACACCAGGAGCAAACGGCATTCCCAGAGTCACTGCAAGGACAAAATAAAAGTTAAATTGCCGGTGAAATAAGGCAGATTCCCTTACCTGCCCCAATGGAGGAATTATAAGACAATGGACCCCTCAGACTGTAAGAGACAAACTGCCGAGTCATGTTTAGGCGTGTTGCGTTTCCATGTAGTCATTTTGAAGTTTTATAGTTTTTATAATCTTCTTGTATTGATTTTGCGTCTATCTTTGGTCGTTTTGCATATTTTTGTAGTAATTTGATGGACTTTCCAGCAAGAAATATCAAGAGTTACTTCAAAGCTCTACATCCATGTACTCATCATCACATAAAGCAGGACTAGAGACATGCTGTTATGCAGTTCATGTGGAGCACAGCACCAATTACTGGAGCACCAATTACTTTTTATTCAAACCAAAATACCATTGCCTCATATTTTCATGGTATTTACTTTTATATATAGTTTTATTTCTCCCAAAAGCAGTTAAAGTGTGAATGGGTGAATGTGCCGTATAAAGCGTTTACATTGTAAATCCTGAACAATAACCAATAACCAATCACAAGAATGATTTGTACAAGATATGATGAGATAAACAGGGCGTAGATGATTAGACTCGCTTTAACGACGTGACAAAAAATCACAGGCAGATACATTTTAACTTCAGTCTTCACAGAAATTAAGTGACTGAAACTTTACTGAGAGTAAACGTAAAGGCTTTAGTGACTGAGAAATGTTAACAGAACCCAAACGCAAAATTGCAAAATGTAAATTTCAATAAAATCAGTCTTTTGGAGAACACACTTGTAGAACAATGTTGAAATGAAATCTCTTACCTGCTAGGCTCAGTGAGAATAATGCCAGCGTCTTCATCTTGACCTGTTTGGCCAAATCTGTATTGATGATTGAAGACTTTGATTTACAAATGTGCCTTGTACTCGTAAGTTATTACCAGCTGTTCATGTGCTCTTCTCTTTGCGACTGCTATTTATCTGTGTTTGGTTAATCTTTATGTACGCTATTAGTCCTGCCCTCTTTTATTCCACCTTCTGTCAGTAAGCCATAAACCAGGGCCTTCCCGTTACCTTATCTTATCAAAAGATCTTATTTTTTCTCTTTTGTTTCCTCTTGGCATGCAGTCCATCATAAAAGTAGAAAGTCATTTATTGATTCTTCAACTGAAAATGGCTAAATAAGAAGGTTGGTTCGAGCCAAAAGTTAAACTGTTACCTCATGTAAAAACAACCAAAGATATGACTAAAAAAACAAACTATTTTGACAATTTAGCTGACAAACCAGCCACAAAGTATAATAGTTGACACGTAATTCTCACAATAACCGTCTACTAGATCTGGACTATGACCTGTTCAATAACTAACTGTGATTCAGTGGTATTATTAGTAATACATTTCATGTCTGTCAATGAACTCCCAAAACAATTTTGTATTTTCTGTCTCTCACAAAATGCTGCTGTAAATATACTCTGGAAAGGGCCGGACTGTGTTCAGCAGGAAAGTCACCGGCTCAGAAAGAACTGAAGAAAACATGAACACTGTGAGCATGAGCATGATTATTAATGGGTTTAGTGTGTATGTATTTCTCTCAGGGGTTCACTAAATCAGAATTAATATTTCCTCACCATCATCTTCAAGTTTTGGTGTTGCTCCCACCTTTAAATTAGATGCTCTGGATTTGCCTCGGCCATGGCCGTGCCTCCAGTGGTTCCTTGTGTTTCCGTGAACATTTTAAAATGATAATTGAAAACGTATTCATTCTGCGTTAATTTTAACTAACTGTCACCCTTCATCTCATTCTGTCGTGTCGTCACTTTGTTGTAAAGTACGAAAGTTGCCACATAAATATAGTTTATCATAAAGTTTCTAATCATTGTGTTTCTTGTGTTTTCTGCTTCCTGTGTGTTTCTCTAGCTGCGTTCCTAATCTCCTTCTTTATCTTTTAACTGTTAGCACTGCAGCTGCCCTTACAAAGTACATGCTGTTGCAGGAAGTATGCATTCAATTGGGATATAATACTTCATTATAACACGCCACCTTGAATGTTGACCCTCTTGCACATTCGTGCGCAGAGGATTGTGGATTGGCAACAAAACTGTAGCTGAAACTAAACACAATTTTGGTTAGACAACAAAACTACTTATACATTAAAACATCTTGGTTTGGCAGACTTTGATTAGAAACATATATGTGATAATGATAAATACAAATGGGACCTTGAATCAATCCAGGTACACAGTGTTTGGTTGAACTTTGTGCAGTAGAGTGTGAGGAGGACAGCTGTTTAAATGGCTCCTCTCACTGGTTGTTACCAACGATCACAATACATTTACAGCCACACCTTTGTTCATATAAGATTCACTATCTGGGAGAGATTTGTTTATGTAAACCATGTTTGTGTAAAGTGAGCAGCGGGTGCTGAGCTGGGTTGTTATCGATGACATGTGTAACATGACAGCAGTGGATCCTGCTCACAGCAGAGCAGCTGGGATTGCTGATTGTGAACAGGTGTTGCAGCAGAGATTTTGTGACTTTGTATTCCTCTCGTATGCGTATGCACACGTGTCTGCATGGATGGCCTCTTTGTGTGTGAGTCTTTGTGTGTGCATATGGCCACAAATGTAAGCATGTGTGCACATTAACGAGAATGAGCGACAATGAGCTGTTGTGTGGCTGCTGGTGGAGAGAAACCTAATAGCCAAGGGCACAGTAGCTCAGCCAGCAGCTGTTCCATCTCTGCACCTCCTATTACACCCACAACTCTAACCATGTGATACTAAGTTAAGTTAATAAGTTCAGATGGACAATTACTTGTTTTAAAGAAATTATGTCACTAACAGGGCAGTTCAAAGATCTATTTAGGCGTAAAGCTTTCACTTGAGAACAAAATATTTCCCCTGTTTTTTTTCTGAATTAACGAGATTATTATCTTGGTAATTGTGAGAAAAGTTTTCATAGAAAAAAAAATCTGCTCTGTTTTTCTGAGTTAACAGATACCTCAAGATCCCAAGATCATTTTTTTAAAGCTCAATTCCATGGAAGCAAATAATGTCCTGCCAGTTTAGTTTAATCCAGATTTATCTTGGTTTGGGACATCAGGGGGACTCGTGTCTTTACGCAATATATTGTTGCTAGTTTGTGCATTCAAGACATGTGGTGACTCAAGAGACAATCAGGCAATTGCTCCCTCACATCGTACAGAAAACTCCAGCTTTCAGGTTTGAGGGATCTTATTTATTCAGAAAAAAAACAGAGCAAATATTTTTCAATGGATTCTCTGATTTTCTCTGAAGTTAACAGACCCTTGCCAAAATAAAAGCAGCTCATATTCCCCCGCTGGCTCCGCCTCCTAAGAGACCAGTGGTGTCCCTGAACGTCTCAGGACAGCAGCAGCAGCGCTCCCTTTCTGTGCGCGCTCCCCGTCAGTTGTCCTGGATCCGCGAGAATGCGCGCGTGCTGCAGATGAAACTTGAAGAAGCTGCCAAGAGTTTGGAGTAAAACTCATCTCCAGACTGAACAGACACATACGGACCTCACGACGGGTCTGTAACTCACCGTGACTAGACATGAACACCATGAAGATCCTGGCGCTGCCTCTTCTCGTCACTTTAATGAATAGTGAGTTTATTTCTGGTTTAATAAACAATTTATTCAACAATAACACCTTATTAATCACATAACAATAGGCTGCAATATGCTAATATATATATTGCTAGAAGTTTTCAGTGGAAGAAGTGCATTAATTAGGTTGTTCAACAGATTACGTTTTAGCCAATTTATGATAGCAGGCACGTTTTAGGAGCTTCTGCTAGTCTGCGGTGTGTTTTTAATAGGATGCTCAGATTATCATCTCAAAATGGTCAACATTTATAAAGATGTGCATAGAAGAAACTGTTAAAAATGTATTTTGGACTGCTATACTATATCACCCCAATATCTCTATACAACTCAGTTCACCATTTATTAGAGGCAAAGCTCAAATATGATGGTGTACCATAACTTTTCAAATTCACCGTAATATGAAAATGGTATCATTGTTTTGTTTGACTTTTTAAAAAATCTGCAAAGGAAAATTAAAAGAAATCATCAAAATCATCACAAAGAAAAAGGAATAACCCTCTTCCATTTCTGGCCTCCATTTCTTCCTAAATATTTTGTGTAGTCCATCAGAATTGTGGGATTATTATGTGATTTAAAAAAAAAAAATGTACTATTTAATTGAAGAAAAATGTTTTGATAAGAAATGTTTTCTTCAGGCGATGCATGTTTGGCCGTGTGCAACAGATTAGCTAGATTTATATTGTGACAACTCCTAATGATTTCAACATGAAGCAGACTGATTGCTTTGTTGTTTTGGTTTATGTTTTATTGATCCTTAATTCGTGAGATGTAGTATGTGCATGTTCAGTGGAGGAGCTGTGATGTGTTCAGGGACTGCATCAGAGGGTGACATTGTGCAGGGAGTGGTTGCTGTTGGGCTCCCTGTTTACATCAATCTCGAGATCCACAGGGTGATGAAACACATCTCGTGGCCCCGCGGAGGAGTCTGAGATCCCAACGTTTCAGTTTGAAGATAGCCGCCGACTGACCCTGTTGCTGATTGCACTGAGATGAAAACGACCACTCGCTATCTGGACAAATGCATTTGAAGTTGCTGTGGGATTTCTACGGGGCAGAGGCTGCTTTCCAAACAACACGCTTTAAGTTGCAGCTTTGACGCGTGTTTTGATCTTTCTTGTGTTTACTCATGAGGACCAAATTTCCTCACAGAGATTAAAAGATTCAGACATCCTCAGTTAGGACAAGGCTGGTGAAGAATTGTATTTTATTTTTCTTCCTTTTAGTGTCAATGCCAATGGCATGGTATTATGATTGGTAATGCTGAATTTAAAATCATTATAAAACATGTAAACAGTTGACATTTCAGATTAATTCCTTTTAAAACTTCAATGTCAATATGGACTTCATGTCTTTAACATGAACTAGATATACTGTAGCTTAACATTAGTTCATGGCAAAAATTCAGTTCAATGGTTAAAGCAGGTTTAGGTCAGGCTGAGGGTCAGGGTTAAAGGTTCAATCCGTGAAGAGCCTCACAAGTGTGTTGCGCAGATATCTGGGTGTGTGTGTTATTGTGCCAGCTGAGAAGGGTAAGGTTACTGTCACAAAGAGCTTCTTTGTCTGTGAAAGAAAAGCATGCTTTCCATGTGTGTGGCACACACACACACACACACACACACACACCACCCCCAAATGTTCACTTCATAATGCGAAACCAGACGTATGCTTTAATATTTTGCAAATAAAAATGATAATTTATCGTAGTCATTTTCTCCCTTGTCGTCTGGTTACAAGTTGTTTTGTCCTTCACAGTGAGCAACAGCTGGATTTAAGTTTGCTATACATAAAAAACGTTCACATCAATTGAAATATATTCATATTTAACTATATTTTGGTAAAGCTGGGTTTTAGTTTTTGCTGCTGTGAAAACTTGCCATAGAAATCCATCATCAAGGAATTCAAGCTGACTACAGCTGCTGAACTCTAAAGATTTTGGGCTTTTTCAGCATGTTTGTGGGGGAATGTTATGTAGGCTCTGTGTGTGTGTGTGTGTGTGTGTGTGTGTGTGCTGGAGGGACAGCTCACTAAAAGAGGTTATCAGGTCGGGATAGAGCAGCTTGTCAGAGAGTCATCCGTCACCTGCATTCCTACACACCACCGCTCCTGGTACCACCAGGATGTAGCTAAACACTACTGTGTCTGGGAGTTCATGTGTGCACCCACACAAAGAGAGAGCAGATATGCATTGTGGGTTATATTACTTTTTGTATACGATTCCATGACTGGTGTGTGTAGGCTGATACTCATTCTCATGGGCTTTTTATCCTGTTTACGTCTCAGGTCTGATTGCACTACAGTCCAAAAAAGCTCCAACACTTTCTGGATCTACAGATATGTTTAGCTTGACAAACACAGCGAGATGTAATTGTTTGTCAATTATGTGAGCAGAAGAAAGATGATAAAAACAATAACTATTTACAACAACTGGTTGGTCCTCTCTCCTCTGCAGGTCCTGTCTTCGTGTCAGTGACAGTAAGCAGCAGTAGACCCAAAGTGGAGGTCCACGAGCACACAGGTGAGACTGTGCAGTATTATTTATCCTTCAAAATGACCATAACTCTAGTGAACAACATTGTATAATGTGATTAAACATTTGTCTTATCTTTAATGTTTTAAAATAGGAATACAAGACCCCGTTTTACCAAATTCACCATATTTTCCAATGGATTTTGCCGCCCAATTCCAAATGATAGGAATAAAAAACAACAATGAGAGAAAAGTTCACTTTATGTTATAGGTATCTGAACTGTAATATCAGATGAGTGGGAGTAGAAGTGGAGTATTGGTGTGAATATAAATGATGTTAATGGACACATTTAGGAACAATTTGACAGCAAAGATGAGGGGTGAGATATTATCTCTGATATCTGCTTTTCTGTCATTCCAAAACAAATCAGTCAAATTAACAGACAAACCAATGGAAAACAGATTTATATAATGCAACTTAAATTACTCTTATCTTCTTTAGTGAGAATACCAGATACATCATATGTTTCAGAATAATTTGGAAAATTAGCTAAGATAAAGGGGAAACAGAAGATATCTCATTTCATGCGACAAAAAGCGGGAAAAAAACAGCCTTCAACGTACATTTGAGCTGCCATTTAAACCTGAACACATCCAGTACTTCATGCTGACCAGTATTCATGAGCACACAGTTGTGACAAAAAGGCAACAAATTACAAGAAATTCAAGCAAAAGTATCTCTACTGTATTCATAAAGTAATTTCCCTGCTGTGCTTTCTGTCCTCAGATGCTGTGCTCGCCTGTGAGTTCAGGACAGAGAAAGATCCGAACCCTCGAATTGAGTGGAAGAAGAAAGGAAAGGAAGTGACTTTTGTGTACTTTAATCACAAATTTACGGGTTAGTGAAAGACCTCTTCTGCACGAATTCCTTTCACTGCTCTGAGCTGAAATGGCTGATATTTTGCTGCTTTCCCCCCATCATCCTTTCATTATTACCTTTTGATTTATCTTTTTTTTTTTTTGCCATTAGTTAAGCTTTGTCCATCATCCATCACCTTCCACTATAGGGTCTTATGCAGAACGGGCAAAGATGGAAGGAGCGACGCTGACGATACACTCTGTTACTCAGAAAGACTCGGGGGAATACCGCTGTGAGGTGACTGCCAGCGAGGACCACGTCAACCTCGGGGAAGCCACTGTAACCCTCAATGTGCTCGGTAGGACGGGAAACAGGCATGCGTTTTATGCAGGTATTAGGGGGAATGTATGTGTACTTCTGTGAGACAAATGAGGGTTAAATGACTGAAGCAGACGTCAACGGCATTCCTTGGAAATGTAAACAACATTTTTGCTGTCTGAAATCCTCATTATGAACGTATAGCTCTGCTAGCTTGCATACCACCACGGTACCCTTTCAAAACTGGTAATTGTTTTTTTGTTTTCTGCATTTCAGTGTCATGCTTATGAATGAGGGAAGAGAATTCGCCAGATTAGCCGAATCCCCATTTGGTTATAGCTTTTCAAAGAGCAATATCATGAAATATATTGATTATACAACCTAAAATGATCTATTCAGTTATGGAGGATTTATTGCTCACGCCTACTTTAAGTTGACAATTAATTTAAAATGTGACAAATTTCAGAAATTCCACTACATATTCAACCACTGTTTCATTTGAATGGGAAAACAGTAGTGACAATAAAGTGGCAGTACCAGGTTCCACCATCTCAGTCCTGGCAGAGGGAGTCATTTCAATCCAGTTAAATTTTGGTAGATTGATTATTGCTGCAATTGTAGCTTTGATGCAGCAAATTCATCAACCCTCTACATCAACCAAACAACAAAATGCAGCAACAAAAGTAATATTTTAAGTGTTTTAAGGTGGACAGAAATGAAAAATCCTATATTTTGTATATCTTTTTTCTGTAACTCAAGGTGCTTTACCTCCCTGCCTCCTTAGTGCCTCCTCACATCCCGTCCTGCGAGGTGCCGAGCTCTGTGTTTGTGGGCTCAGGCCTGGAGCTTCTCTGTAAGGACAAACTCAGCGTGCCTCCTGCCACCTACTGCTGGTACAAAGACAACAAGGCTCTGACGGCCACGGAAGATTCTCTATACAGCGTCGACACAGACAAGGGCACACTGGTGAGTACACACTAAATTATACAGACACTTAAAATGCACCCATATACAAACAAAGTTATGTTATATTATGCTCTTGCTCTCCCATCTTGTGTTTGTTTGGAGCAGAAGTTCAAGAGTGTGTCCAAGACAGACGCAGGGATGTACCGCTGTGAATCCTCCAACAGCGTTGGGGCGCCCAAGAGCTGTGTGGCCCAACAACTGAAAGTTATTGAATGTAAATGGTTTTGGTAGAACTCCTCTTTGAAGTTTCCATGTTTCGCTCCACTCAACACAGACTGATGAAATTCTCTCTCTCCACTCCTTCTAGATCCTTTGAATATGACGATTTTGATAGCAGCTGCTGCAGGTTTTGTGACGCTCGTCCTTTTCTGCTGCATCAGTGTGTGCGTCTGCCGACGCCGAGGCTGCTGCAGGAGTGAGTAGTGTGATGCTGCGTATGTGGCCGTTTCATAGACGGTATAGATGTTTGGATGTGCGTGTGAGGTAGCGGTTTGTGCCTGTCTTGCAATCATTGCTTTTACATTTGAGGCGTTTTTGCATTTATAAAGCACAAAATAGAGGTAAAAACCTGGCAGGTCATTTAATAAAAATAATGGACAGCATATCCAGGAATCTAAAACTCTCTGTCGCGCAGTTGCATTAAATATTCCCTTTTTATTCCCTTATGAAGTTATGATTTCAATTTTTTTGTCTTCCGTCTTTGTTTGAGTCAAGGTCTGAAGATGCATCTTGTCAAACAAGGAAAACTGCTCGGTCATTTTACGCCAGCGAAAATATTTTGTAGTCAGTTTGATGTTGATTGTCTTTGAGGATTACAGACATGTCCTCAGCAACACAGCATGCTGTTTTTTTGCTAAGGTTTTTGTCAAAAATATTAAATGTAAAACTATTAAGTGAAAGTCAAAGAATGAGTGAGGTTGCAACTAAATGTGTGCCAGTAGTTCCCAACCTGGGGCCCGGGGCCCCCTCAAGGGATAAAAGTATAGGTTCGCTTCAAGGAAAACAGTTTGTGAACCTCTGTGCTAATCTGCAGACTGTGGAAGTATTCAGATCATTTACTTAAGCAAAAGTAGAAAAAAGTATAAATACCAAAATGTAAATATAAAACAATGCAAATTAAGGTCTAACATTTAAAATCTTACTTAAGTTAGAGTATTTAAAAAAAAAAAAAAAGTGTATAAAATGCACTGACCAGTATTTTTATAACAAACAATGGTCAAACTCACAGATAAGTTTCAATCGTCAGTGCAGTTTCCAGCTTCAGCGAGTGTTCTAGTTTCTCCTCGTTTTGGTTTGACGAGAACTTTACTGTTGTGGTCTAACTGCTCGTGTCAGCGTTGTTCTCAGTGAAAAAGCTCTGATACATTCACTGTACAAATACCTGCTCAGCACCAAACAGCAGACATTAAACAAATACATTAGCTGGTGAGTAATGGAGCATTTGAGCTGCTAACAAGACAGACATGTCCCTCCGAAGAGCTACAAGAGAGTGAGTATTGGACATTAGTCAGGTGGACAGAAACAAGAGTCTTAATGCATACTTGCGTAAATGATCTAATTACTATCCACCACTGGCAACAGATTAAGAGACACATGTACAACTTCTTTGGGCAAGTATGATAGTGATCATTAATGTTACCTTTTCTTCTTTGTTGTTTCTCTGAATAGAAGACAAGAAAATAAAAAGGTGAGGGTTTCACTTGTCAGCCTGATTCTTGTTTTGCCTGCAGCTGTGTGTTATTGGCTGGTAATGAGCTCAGACTGAACCGCTTCCCTTTGTCTTTCAGCACCAAGTCCTACAACCCTCCTCCTCCTCCTCCTCCCATCCGCAATGTGAGTGATCAGAGGAATCATTATCGTGCCGGGGCTTGTTTTGTTCACTGGGTTGCCATTGAATTCTGTTAAATTGATGATAACGCTGGTCCCTAGCTAATTAAAGGAAATGATTCAATGTATTTCTTTCTACTCTCTGCAGATCAAGCACTACAAACAAACTCACTCCTTCATGATCTGAGGGTGAAACACTCTCTCACTTTGACTTCAAACCACCCAGAACCATTTGGACGGCGGCTCACTGCTTTCCGGGACGGACAGATCTTCAGATATTAAGCTAAAACAAAGAGTTAAACTGAATTTTGTTAAAACATTGATGCTTCCTAAACACTGGCATTTATGGGTTTATAGTTTCCTACGGTTCCTACTTTTATATCTACTACAAACTTAGAGTCCTGTAAATATGGGGTTTACTCAGCTCTTTCTAATGCTATTACATGTTAAGAATCCTTTTAAATCTTTTTTTAGAGTATTTTTTCAACTTATCTCAGACTTTCAGAGCCAAGTTCAACACTTCAGTATATGTTTTAGCTCTCTTACGCCACCTATATGCAAGTAACAGTTATTCATCCACACTTGACAAATACTGAGCTACTGTATAGATTGTATCCTTTTTATTGCCTTTCGTTTATATTTAGATGCAGAGTTGTTGATTTACATGAGGACATGTTTTTTCTCTTTTGTCATTTTTGTTGTATACTTGTTGTGTTGATCTCATAATTGTTTGAGCGACAGATGAACGGGTGTCTGCACACACTGAACGGTGCTTTAGAAGCTTTTAAAATATGTTATACTCTTTTGATGAGTCTATGTCTTGTTCAGTAAAGAAAGATGAAACAAAAATATCCCAGAACAGAGTTTATTGGCTTATTGGTGGTACAAAGCCAGGCAGAGGGAGTAGGAAGTTTAATGTGGATTTGATCAATGTCATTAAAAACAGCAACAACCATCCACAAGATGAAAAATACATTGTTTGGATACATGGCCTAGCTTGTGTCATAGCCTCCTCAGTATTTTACATGTCCTTTAATCTTGATCAAAACATATTTTTAGCAACCACACTAGCAACTTGGTTCTAGATTTTTAATCTGGTGAATTCCAATATTTTGGTTTATGACTAGAAGCCTACAAAACCAAAAACATCCCCATCAGCATCAGCTGTTTATGTTTAGTACTAATTAGCAAATGTTAGAATGCTAACATGCTGAACGAAAATAGTAAACAGGGTAAATGAACTTGTACTCCTATAGCGCTTTAACACTACATGTCATTGACCCATTCACACCCCTTCATACACTGATGGAACAGCCTGTGGGAGTAATTTAGGGTTAAGTGTCTTGCTCAAGGACACATCAACGTGGACTAGCGGAGCCGGGGATCGAACCGCCGATCCTCTGATTGAAGGATGTGTGCTTTGTGAGCCATGTAAGTATTATGAGATGATACATAGGCCTATATAGATATCTACATGCATAAAACATATACTGTATATATCTCACGCATGTTAGCAGGCCAATGTTAGCATTTGATGCTAGCTCAAAACTGTTGTGCCTAAGTAAACCCCACCAGAGCCTTGAGCATGGCTGCCGACTCTTGGTCTTGTTTATTGCTTATTCATATTACATTTACTCAATATACATTCTTTATTTTTGTGTATAGTTAAATCAACAGAAATTATTCACTATGCTCTCCTGTTTCCATCTTAAAGGGCATACGATTGCTAAGTGTTAAGCTATATAAAAAGTAGTACGTTGGTGTAGTGGATGTTATTAATGGAATATATGCTGCTCTTACTGACAGATGTACAAATGGTGGGTGTTTTCTTTTGATAGCGGCAGTTACAGACAGCTGTGTTGGAGAAAGAAGCTTTTACTCGAAGATAGTGACATCACTCCTATTTATCTAACTCCCTTTGAATTGTGTCTGTTTCTTTCTATCAAGCAGAGTTTTGGGATGTACAAAGATGTAGTGCTTCCCTTTGACCAGACAACACTGCAGTTGGTTGTGATCAATGTTTCTTTGTTGACCACTAGATGGCACCAAAGCACTGACTGTCTCAGCTCATACCAGCTCAGTCCACAGGCCTCCAGCTACACGATGCCAGCCATTAACCATTATTTGTCTATGAACAGTAGCACTATTGTCCTTCCTCCTTTTGTTCTCGTTGTTTTCCTATTCTGCCGCTCATAAATTAAATTTTTTGAAAAGCACGGATATCCTGCAGCTTCCATGCGGTTTAAAAAAAGATGCATTGTCTGTGCATGGACTCATGATTCAAAGGTTTAAGTCATGTTCATGTTAATGACCACACATTTGAATTTTGTTACATCTGGCTTGTGCATGATGTGTAACTGCAACAATACAGACAGTGTCAGGAACCAGTAACAGAAATCTATTCTCGTACATGGTCATAACCCTCTCTAATGATTGCATTAAGAGCCTTTTATTGATCTGGCTGTTTGGTAGCTCAAACCTTTCTGATCAACCACTCAGAAAGGACATCAGTCGAGCTCTGAAATATGCAAATGCTCTTCCACAGTCTGTGGTAAAAACTGCACCCTCAATGGGAGCGGCATTGGTTACTTTGAGCATAGTGACGATGCAAGTTGAATTTGAAGAATGTTTTTTGGGATGTATTCATAAGCCATCATGACTGAATACAAAAAGCATGATTTATTTATTACTCAGTACTCTCTCTTAGACATTTCTGTGTATCTGACAATATAAAACGAAACATAACCAAAATGGGACACTAATCGGATCATTTATTTCATCCTGCATGGTTTGTGCAGACAATGTTTTGTACTGTTGTCCAAATGTATTTTCTATTATTTGCCTTTTTGTCAGGACTGTGTGGGCAATCTCTCTCAGTCTATTGTTGCTTTGTTGCAGGACAAGTTACATCTTTATCATTCTTATTAGTATAGTGTAACTTTGTACAGCTCCCACCTGAGCTGGTCTTTTCAGCAACAATAACTGAAAACACCTTTATGGGTATGCAGGGCCTTCAATCGATAACAATGCATCATATTCTATAAGTAGATAATGTGTTTCAATATGAAGTCAAAGTAACGGTAGCTGTCAGATATATGTGTTAGAGTAATAGTTGCCTCTGATATATAGTTAGTATTAGTAAAATAACGTTAAATAGCAGTAAAGTTTAACTACCTCAACATTATCAGTAAAGCACTTAAGTAAATGTACTTAATTTCTCTCCAGTGAGCGCCTGTTGGTACTGACCCTGGAACACATTATAGACTGAGAGCACAGTAAATAGTGAACAACTCTGGACACAGCGTGGGAGTTTATTTCGACCCGTATGAACGCATCAAGAAACATCACACCTGCAAATCAGCCAACTGGCTGGTTCCTGGTTTTACTTTTCAACGGTTAGATGGGCCTGCAGGCACACAGAGTGCCACGAACACTCTGTAGCATACAGATCTGGTGGCTGGCTAATGGTGCAGCTTGACCGCCAGCTACAGTCATTTTTTGCGGTTTCCTTTGACCTTCTTAATGGGTCTTTTTTTATTTATGCACACTCGCCCTAGATTGCAGCTCAAGGACGTTTGAACATCACGTTTTGTTAATGTGTGTGTATCTGTCAGATAGCGACAGAGGAGAGAGAGAGAGAGAGAGTGTGAAAATAAGTGAGAGAGAGAGAGAGAGCGAGAGAGAGATTTAAATTTAAATTTTAATATTATTGTCTATTAATGTTATTGTGTATTAATGCTATTGTATGTTTAATATTTTGATGCTTTGGCAAAACCGTTTCTAAACGTTCATGCCAATAAAGCAAATTGAATTTGAATTTGAGAGAGAGAGAGAGAGAGAGAGAGAGAGAGAGAGAGAGACACACGTGTGAGTGGGCGGGGGCTGTCAGATGAAATCTATGTCACATGTTAAATTAAGCTTCAAGCCAGGTTTTGTCCAAGATGTCTCCTTCCTCATGCTGCCTTTTACCAAATTGGCTGCACCGGAGCCCTATACCTAAAATGCTCTCTGTGCATTGAGCTCCCCCAAACCCCCAGGAGCACTACTCATCTTTGAACAGGTGGCACAATGCTCACAGCACATGGCACAACACCCCTTAAGTTGTCTTTGCAATATGTTACAACAACAAAAATATGTCTCTGCCAGTTTTTATTTGTGAGGTGTGTTTTTTCCCGGTTGCTGGTGTTGCGCATGCGTCGCTCTCAGTTTTTGGCACATTTACAGCTCCCATAGCTCTGCACATTAGTACCTCTTGGGTTATGCACAGCTTACACTATACAGACATGTTTGTATTTATGCCTCAGGGGAATTGTTGTGGCAAAAGGAGCAGGAAGAAGACCACTGCCATAGGGATTACCACAGGAAACTCTCTTCCCATGGTAGTAAGAAATAGCAACATTTAAACATTTAAGGCCCACCAGACGACATCCCCTACAGTTTCATTAAATCTTTATACTGAGGTTCTCTTACAATGCTGTGTGTGTGTGTGTGTGTGTGTGTGTGTGTGTGTGTGTGTGTGTGT